TGCTTAAAAACATAGATTCCAAAGCCAGACTGTCTCCTTTCAAATCCCAGCCCAGTCATTGACCTTAGACAATTTTCCTAGCCTCTTTGTGTCAGTTTTCTCATCCATAACATATTGTTGCTGTTGTTGTTGCTGTTAGCTGCTGTTGAGGTCCCCAGCTCAGGGGACCTCAAGCACAACAGAACAAAATGCTACCCAGTCCAGTGCCATCACTACAATCTGTTGTGGATTGAAAACACAGGGTTTTCACTGGCTGATTTTTGTTGGGGTTTTTTTGGTTTTCCAGTTTGTAAAACTTTACAAGGAAGCCTTCCAGATTGACTACAATCACACTTCTCCCTACCTGCTGTGCCCTGACACAGGTTAACAAGGCACACTTTTCCAGGTGTTGGTGCATTAAGTTTATATGCCTTTATGGTCATCATTGAATGAGGTCTGCTCTGTGGATATCCTTCTCTGCCCTAAGACAACTCCCCTACCTGATTACTGTGGAGCATAGGTTTGTTGTTTCAAGTCAATTCTATCGCCATCCAAACCCCTGTTTCAACTCAATAAAGTAATCCAGCTGAGTTCCTTCACTGTGCGGCTGGGTGTCACTTGTTGTTGTTGTTGTTGTTATATGCCGTCGAGTCGGCCCCGACTCATAGCGACCCCTCCTTGGGTTTCCGAGGCGGTATCACTATGGAAGTAGGATTGCCCAACCTTCCTTCCGAGGAGGAGTGCCTGGTGGGTTTGAACCGCCAGCCTTCTGGATAGCAGTCAAGTGCCTTAGACACTATGCTACCAGAACTCATGAAACAAAAAAGTTCTCTATACAACTCTGCCCGAGCACCCTTGCTCCTCCAAAGAAATGGTTTTCTAGCAACATGGATTACAAGCAATTTGTTATACATAACAATTTGTTCTTAGAAACACTATCACTCAAACTATCGGCATCAAAAGAAGATTGTTTCTATATTGACAGACATCCTCTTAGTAGCCACAGAGACCCCAAAGTACATACTCACTTACAAACACACACTCGAAGTACATTTAACATTAGACACACCATAACCTATACTTAGATCTTCTCACTATATCATCATATATTTTATATACACATAATCAACTCCTCTTCTCACTCTCTTTTTCTGAAGCATACACAAATTCACACATATCCACTTGTGCACAGAGGATGTGATAACAAAGAAGGTATAAGAAAAATATTTCATAGCTGGGTCAGGCACCACTACATGCCATGCAAAATCCCAAAAACTTTGCCCACAGAATTTCTCATTTATTAAATCCTCCACCTGCTCCCTTTTCCAGTAAAGTTCTCCACTGTGATTACATGGAAAGCCATTAATACTATACAAATACAGCAAGGTCAAGGACTTCCTGTAGCAGTACTGAGAAGAAGTTCCATGATGATAAAGATCTCACACTTATTGTTCACCATTGGATTTCCATATTTGTTCAGAGTAGGTAGTCAATCAGTGTTTACAATTATTATAATAGTAGAAATATTATCTTCTATTTACATCAAATTTTATAGGCTGAAGTGACCATTATAATATCAGTTAGAAAATCATATAATATTGCTTGATGCATCTGGGAAAGGCCTGAAATGTAGATTTGTATCAATTAAAAACATGCTCACTCTCTCAACACTCACTCTCCTCTCACACCATCTTGTGGCCAAAGTCTTATTAGGTTTACAGCATAAGATAGTGAAGAAAACAGACAATACTGGATTGCTGAATTTTAAGAATCACTTTATTAGCTTAAGCTGACATCAAAAGGCAATATCAAAACAAAATAATATGACAAAAGTTTACCTTGGATTAAAACCTCTTCTTTACTACAGTATTTTCACAATTTGCTCTCAGGTCAGAATCCTTACTTCAATACTGTTCCATCATCAGCAAACTCCACAACCCACGGCAAGCATGTTTAATAGAAAAGGGAAATAAGGATTGGCAAATCTAACTGCTACCATCAATTTTCTGTTGTTATATTGTTTACATAATTCCTTTATTCATGTAGAATATTTGGGCAAAGTATGGTTATTCTGAGTAGAATCTATAATGCCAAGTAGTAGAGGTGCATTGATTCATATGTGGAGCCTATGGTATTTGAACCCTTTCATGTCCCAATTTTTTTCTGCTTTGAATTTTTGTTGATATTGTGCGTTTTCGTAGGAGTTCTGGTAGGATAATGCCTAAGGCACTTGACTGCTACCCAGAAGGCTGGCGGATAAAACCCATCAGCCACTCTTCAAAAGGAACCTTGGGCAATCTACTTCCCTAGTGATACTGCCTCACAAACCTAAGGAAGCGTCGCTATGAGTTGGATCCGACTCAACGACACACAACAACAACAAGTGTTTTCATTAATGGAAGGCATGATGAATCAAAGAGCAATTCTGAAATTTTGTTATGAAATACAGTTTGATGCATACTGTTTGGGACACATAGGTATATGTCTCTCTGGAGTTGGGGGACAGATAGGGTTTGTGGGACACATGTGTCCCTCTGGATTTTGCATCATCTTCTAGATCCCTTGACAGGTGCACACAATTTAGTGGGCCTGAAAATGGGGTATTCGTGAAAATATGGAATCATCACGGTAAAGGCAACTTCCAACTAATGCACCAAACACACTGCCATTGAATTGATTCCAACTGATAGCGACAGACTCATAGTACAGAGTACAACTTCTCCACAGGGTTTCCAAGGCTGTAAATCTTTACAGAAGAAACTGCCTCACCTTCTCCAGCAGAGTCAGTGGTGGGTTACAACTGTTGATCTTTTGGTTAGCAGTTTAATGTTTTAACCACCATTCCACCAAAGCTCTTAAACAAGGCACAAGAATCTGGAAATATCCTTACATGGCTTATCTCCCAGTTAAAAAACAAAAAAAGAAAAATGTCTTGCAAAACCACACCTGCAAGATG